ACCACCAGAAGTACTAAGCAATCCTCTCCGAGCTTCCTCAGGCGTCCGGGTAACCTCCCTGTACTCTCCTCTCTCAGAGGCGACCGGCAGATAGTCCAGCCATTCTCTCCATACCACCAGAAGTACTAAGCAATCCTCTCCGACCTTCCTCAGGCGTCCGGGTAACCTCCCTGTACTCTTCTCTCTCAGAGGCGACCGGCGGATAGTCCAGCCATTCTCTCCATACCACCAGAAGTACTAAGCAATCCTCTCCGACCTTCCTCTGGCGTCCGGGTAACCTCCCTGTACTCTTCTCTCTCAGAGGCGACCGGCGGATAGTCCAGCCATTCTCTCCATACCACCAGAAGTACTAAGCAAGCCTCTCCGAGCTTCCTCAGGCGTCCGGGTAACCTCCCTGTACTCTCCTCTCTCAGAGGTGACCGGCGGATAGTCCAGTCGTTCTCTCCTCCAGAGAGTGACCCAGGTGTCAGTCCCCGTACTCTCCTGTGCTGTAAGGGCGTCCGAAATCTAGGCTTCGTACTCTCCCGCTCTGAAGGGCGACCTCTCTCCAAGCAGACTACAGCAACATTGCTTCGCTGCGTCAGCGGCCGTGATATTTATACTTGAGCGTTGCTACTGTTTTCCCGCGCGAAACCGCGAGACTCCCGCGTAAAATCGCGAGTCTCCCGCGTAAAACCGCGAGTCTCCCGCGTAAAACCGCGGATCACAAGCTAGTTTCTTCTAGAAGCTTCTATCGCTTTGCGATTATTCGATTGACGACGAGGATAGAGAGTCGTCCCTCTTACTTCCTCTCGCGGAATGGAAATTTTTGTCGCCGTCTTCGTTGATGGTTGTTACAAAACTATTTTTTTTATTACACGGTTATTTTTTTCTTCCTCTTTCTTTAATTAAATCGCATCTTTACATACGACAAAGTTAATATTGTATATCGTGTCAAAAATTTGGTCTTATTTTCATTGTTTGTAGTATAAATTATGTTAAATAAAATATATTTTTCGTATTCATCACGGAAAATTAATAATGTTACATCCTGAAAATGTGATTCGGTACAAAATGGAGTTTTATTGTAACTTAACACTATATAGAAGGATCAGCCGAGTCAAAATGATCAGCAATTCTCTAACCTTATTTTGTGTATGTTTACGTCTATTTGCATCGACACGAGACAAACTCAGTCACGTTTCTAGTTACATAAAAATTCATCTTTGGAATGTTGCTGATGGATCATGTTGATCCTTTTGCTCCTTCTAGTGTTATCACACTCTATTCCCGATTACCAGCAGAAATTTAAAAAGAATCGTCGCAGCAATTATCTTAGTGGATCGAAATTCACGGCAAGGGTATATCGCACGTAGAAAAGTCGGTGTAATGAATCTCGTGGAAAAATAAGCTGGCAGATTTCGATTTTCTCCCAGTTGCCAATTCTAGATTGTCTTCTTTCCTTTCTGTTTCTCGTGCTTCCTCGCTACTAAAAGCTTTGCGTCGTTACCTCTACTTTTTCGCGGGGGATATCTCGTTGCATTCGCTTCGTTGTGCCTTTTCGTCCCTCTCTACTCTAACCGGTACGCTAACTTGCACACAAAGAAAATCCCGTGAATGGCGGCCAAATATTTTCCTCTTAATTTCGTGGCCGTTCGACTAGAAAAGCCTTTATCGGTGTAACGCCGGCGCACGCGAACACACGTGCCTTTTGTCGGGCCACTGTAAGCCACTGAACTTTTATTTTACAGTTAGCTCCGTTTCTTGTTCGTTTGGGAATGGAGTCAAATCGTCTGTGATGTCGATCGGTTCCACGTTAGATTTGCTTTTTCCTTTGAGAATTTATTCGATGCTCCGAGCTTTCGCCGGAGCAATCTACAGATGAGAATTCTAAAGCTGAAGTCTAAATAGAGTAAATTTACATTTCTGAGGTAACGCACGATAATTTATGCTGAAACAAAGTATCACGATCGGATCTATGATCTAATCTTACTTAGATTTCTTTGGTAAAATGGAGAATTACTTGTACTTTGCTGTTCGTAAGTATTATTGGAACATTTAGCGAATGTGAAGCATATGGAATTCAGTGAATTCATCTGAACTTTGCTGAAATCTGTTGAATTCTATTAAAATATACCGTATTCTGCTAATTTCTATTGAAATCTATCGAAACCTACGGAAATGTACTAAAATCTGCGCACTAAGTGTGAAGCAAACCTTATTACAATTTTAATATAAAATTGATAATTGATAATAATTGCTATTTATTTATATAAATGTGTCACGAGTTCGGAGTGAATATGTTACGGGAAATCAGGTTTCATCACAGAAAACAGTCCCTTAGGAACGAGGATACTTTCAGTATTTGCTGACAATCACTAAGATTTCCCTCTAATTTTTTACGTATAAAAATTTTGATACACAAAAGTAATTCGTTAATTATTAAGATCCTAAAAAAAATGATTCATTCTGGAATCTCGAAATTTTTACTAATATATGACACTACCTTTAGCAAGGAAGTGTAATTTAAAGCATACGATACTTTCTACACGCATGCAACGGGTGTCCTAATATTTATTAACGTTAGTGTACTTACGCAGGATCATTTCTCATTCTCATGAAGTTATTATCTAAACGGCAAAAGTCATGTTAAAGGTGGAAACTAATTATACTTCTACGGACTTAAATAACAGTACACTTTTGCATCACGGGTATTATATGCTACGAAGTCCCGAGGATAATAATTTCAGTTTAAAAGAACGGGCGGTAAAGCACTTTTGCAGAGATAGAGCGGGGCTTTCAGGTAATTTCCACGCGGAACATATGTGCTGTTTCACTTTGCGCAGTTTTAACAACTCAGACGTGGTTTGTGTGTTTCTTTGAGTTCCACTCGGTCCTGTAGTTGTCGATTAGCAAAAACAGCGTC